GTGGGAAAATTCTACTACCAGTCCTTCATCACCTTACACGAAATAGGGTGAATACATCTCATTACATAAACATTATCCTACTTTGCAACTTCATAATGTTGTGTACTTACTGAACATATACAGCCTCTTCTATGCTGACCTTTGTTGCCAGGTCCACCTAATATTAGCCTAGGAACAAAGGGTCAAAAAGGGTTCTGCACCTCGTAGCCATAATGCATGGGTCTTTGAGACTATCGAAAGATCTTAAATACAAACTTTAATCGGCCTAAGTCGCTGATACTGAATTTTTCCACAGTTATATGCGGAAGCCTTCTGTTGTCAGTGCACAGTATACTTTTAATTGCTTACCAATAATAATAATAATTATTATTATTATAAACTTATTATTCAAGACCAGCTGATATTCTTTAAAACACACTGATTACGAATACAATAGGGGTACTATTTGTATGGTCAAAAGTGAACGAACTGGATTCCAATCCCGTAAAGCTGCTAAGGATACCTTGACGAGGTGGATCTGCAAGCCTGAAAGGATGGGAAAACCTTTTGCAAGGCAGCAGTTCTAGGTAAAATTCCATGACATCTTAAGACCTGATAAAATCTCCACCATCAATTAGTAAAGCATATCTCATAAGTATGGAGAGCATCATTGGCCAGGAAGATACCCAATTATCGGTGCGAGCGTCTTACTTGCCTTCTCGTCTCTATACAGGCCGCGCAGCTGATGGAGTTCTTCCATTTTTTTCATGTAGCCTCTCGAAAGAAAAGAATTGGTTAAGTTTTGTCTTTTAAGCGGATTTCCACTCTTGTGCTGGAGTGTTGAGGCATTGAGATTGACCGTACACTTGTAGGCTGATGCCGACGAGTGTGATTTGGCAGCTCGGTACCTGAAGAGTCTGTTTAGTTTGGGACGGTGACAGACCTGACCAAGACGGTATTTGAAGCTGTTACGCAATCGTCTTTGAATGGGCAAGTCCATTCCTGAAACGGAGCTCTTTTTACTGTCTAAGAACATATTCTTATTTAAGAAAAAGGAACGCTCATTGCTACAATCTCCCCTCAGATCATGGTTGGCTTATGCAAAGGCCTGGGAGAGCAAAGCCGCTTGATGTAAAGGCGGTGATCTGGGGCTCATTCGGAGGATCTAGCCAAACCAACGCATTTTTATTGTTTGTATATGCAACTATAGTCAGAACTAGCAAAAGAACATGAAGCCCATTCATTAAAAATAGTTCCTCCGATAAAAATACCAACTAAGAGTATATTTGAAGAAAAGGTGAATTTAAAGGAGTCTCTTGGTGAACAGTCGTTGAAAGTGCATGACGAAGAAAGTCCAGGGCCGATCTCACTCCGGCCAGTTTTCACTCAAAATGAGGAAGGATATCTCGTGCACTACAACCGTTGAGCTGCTTCCATTTTGAATGAAAGCGCATGATGAAGAAAAAAGAAAGTTTATCGCACCAGAAGGCAAAGGCGGATCTTTCTTCGCCATCTTTTATATTTGGCCATACAAGAACATTCTAGTTGAGTCTGGCCTCGAGTGCCCTTGAGTCAAAGGGCAATGTGCATTTCAAGGAAAACAAGTATTTTTCTGTGGTGGGATTGTCGATGAAGCATAGATATATTTGCTATAACAATAGACTACATTCATAGAAGTGGGTTGACCTCGTTGTCGCAACTTCGTCTTGTTTGCATGGAGACTATGTAGAAAGCATCGAGTCTGAAGTCGTCTGCCATAGTAGTTGTCATGATTCCCAGCATCGCCGGCCTCCTACTATGGCAAACGACTTCGGACTCGGTGCGTTCTACATGGTCTCCCTGAAAAAAAGTTCAAGTTGCGACAACGAGGTCAACCCACTTCTATCAATCGAAAGGAGACTGCGACCACACCAGAGGTCACA